TGGACAATGCGGCTCTTTCTTGATCATTTGTTACAGTACCTTGTTGGTTTAGCTGTCCACTATTGATCGAATCGACCAAATGGTTCATAGGTTCATTGACAGAAGCAGCAGACTAAGAGGGAAAGTAGAAAAAAGCCTTATTTAAATATATAGCTAGGATTAATTGATTATTCAAAGCAATAGGAATAAACCAAATCAAAAAGTAAGTATACCTTATAGGTTCCAGTAAAATATGCAGAAGCGGAGCAACCATTATCAATATTCTCCAATGGTTTATTTAGCTGTGGGCTATTATCAAGGACCAATGTTGCCTCATCAACCGTAATTTCCTCATCATCTTCATCGTAAGCCTCATCTTCCTCATCATCATATTCAGCAGTATAGACAGAACTAGAACAAAGACCTTCGGCAAAGACGTCTCCATCAAAACCAGCGTTCACACGAGATGACAAAGTCGGACGAAGCTTTGTCTTATCATAATAAAATAAAGATATCTAAGATACCTGAACATTTTTTCTAGCATTATCAAATACTCCAAACTGACCCCGATTTTCACGCTTAACTTTTGAATGCTTGACACTGAGTAACATAAAGCCACTACTAGATTCTTTAGAAGATCTAACCAGCTCTTTTGAATATGATTCTTTTTGACTCGATCGAATGTCTGAGGTGGCGCTAATTGGAAGAGAATAGGCAAAATTAGACATATTTCCATTGATTGAATCTGGGGTATGACCATTAGGATGATAGGGAGTATTTGAGGCCTCTGGAAGTGAAAGTTTAAAGTTATTCACGTAGGCCTTCGAAAGCTGACCTCGACAATTGCCATTAGAGGCTTGTCCTTGGATAAGTCGGTCGAAATTAGACATGCTAGTCTGCAATGAGAGCAAGGAAAAGGATTTGTGTGGATTTTATGAAGCTAATAAAATAAAAATAGTCAAATACTATGTATCAAATTTAAGAAATACATAAAAATAGGGCAAATGGCTAAAGCACTAAAAATATTACAAGCAAGTGGAGAGCATAGGGGGAGTAGAGGTAAGGCCCCTGGAGTAATACAGAAAGCGCCAAT